CTGCTTTCATCAATCAAGGTTTTCATATAAGATTTTCACTAGGATTATGAAGCATTAAGCCTTTGTAGCACCCATACCATGTGCAGCAATCCCTGGTAATAACGATAATACCGGATAATATTATTTTCATCTGTCTTGAATCTTCCATTATTCAGCCTCTCTAAATGATCCTGAATTCTCACATTGTAATGACAAGAGAGCTTTGTCACCTATACTCCACCATACCATGCTTATTTATATTTTCAAGTTTACCTCTGTTGGACTGGGATTTTTTTGCCTATGGTAAACATTCCAAATATAATTTTAAAATATGGACTTATTTCAGCAGTTTGATCTTATTTTGGGGGCCTATTTCAACATCTTCTCCAGCTTTACTGAATCCTTTTTTGATAAGCGATGACCTAAGCCCACGATGGCAAACCTATGGCACACCTGCCACAGGTGGCATGCCCTCTGTGGCTATTCCAGCCATTGGCCCAGCCCAGCTCCACAGTGCATGAGTGCGCACCTCCCGATGGCCAGCTGGTCTTCGGATCTCTGCTGCATATGTGCCCCCCTGGCGCATGTGCTAGGGGCGCTTGCATTGCATTTTGGGGGATCCTGCACATGGCATGCACCTCCTGCGCCCTGTTTTTTGGGCCTGGAAAGCCTCCCGCACCAACCTGGAAGCCAAAAATGGGCCAAGGGGTGCACAGGGAATGTGTATGAATGCACAGGGCTTAAACATGCATCCATGGGGGGGCAGGACACATGCATGGAGGGGCACATGCACCGGGGGCGCTTGCATTAAATTTTGGGGTTTCACTCGGCACCAAAAAGGTTAGCTACTAAGCTTTGTAGATTATGCCATGTAGGATCATACTGACTGTTTCACTGTGATTCCTAAAGAGCTTTTAACATAGTTTTTGTCCTTTTTTTTAGTGCACATCTCCAGAAGCCTAAGATGACTTAGTTTCATGTTATGAGATCTTTATAATAATTGTTGATATTTTGTAAGTACTGTGTGCTTAGTTTTATTTGGCATTTATTTTTGTTGATTAATTATTAACCATCTTACAGGCCCAAAGAGCTGTGTTATAAAAGCTTTTTAAAAGACAAGTACCTGTTTATCACAGAAACATAAACCCAAGATTACTTTTCTCCCAAAATAAGAATAATAAGTCTTTTATCAGGGGATGACAGTATTAGACAAGATAATTTCTATTTCTAAATCTTATTTGCGATCATAGTTGCACACTTTATTTATTCATAATATTTGTCTGTAGTATATTCTGAGATTTTTTTTTCCTCAAAGAAAAATATTATTGTCAAGTGGATGGAGATGTTTGAATTCTAAACTACTGTGTCATTGGGATAGCAATTAATTTTTCACACTGTAGTTATTTAATTCAGTAGTGGTTATTATAAGTCCAATACCAAGGGCTTTGGTTGATTCCACCATGCCCACAGTGTCAAAGAAACAGAGAAAATTGTGTTAATTCCTAAAAGTCTTCAACAGTGTGAAACATGAAACCCATTACCATTTTATATAATTTTATTTAGATTATTGAGCAGAAAAAAAGCAGTCCCTTGTTAATATTCAAAATAGGAATTCAGAAGAAATTCTGCCCTTCACAGAAACACAGATCTTGCTTCATAAATCACACTATTGAATACCATGTTTTTCAGAGCATACGATGGACCTTTTTTCCTCAAAAAAGAGGCTGAAAATCTGGGTGCATCTTACACACTGAATACAGCATTTTCGGCCTCCCAAAACCCTGCCCCCTTCACCAAAATGGCCATGCATAGCATTTAGGAGGCTTCCAAAGTGCTCCTAGGGGCTGGGGACACCAGAAATGAGCGGAAAATGAGCCATTGTTTGCTCAATTCCCCCCCCATCTCCCAGGCACACTCTATAAGCCTCCTAAAGGCTATGCATGCCCTTTTTCTGAAAAAAAAAATGACTATTTTTTGCTCATTTTGGCCCACCCCCACCCCTCAGGAGGACTCTACAAGGCTATTCGTGCCCCCTTTTTTTGACCAAAAAAGGGGACATTTTCATGAAAAATGGGCTGTTTGGGGTTGGTCTGCAAAAACTTTTTTTTAAAATTTGCCTCTTCAAAATCTTGGTGGGTCTTATACTCCGGTGCATCTTATACTCCAAAAAATATGGTACTCTAAAGCTGGGCCAAAGTTTCTTTCTTCCATAGATCAAACATATGGTCAAACCATCTTGATTTGAAGAGTAACCTTGACCATATAGTATTTTCACCAAAAGTGTTGTAATTGTTTGAAATTCTGGTAAGTGCAATCTCAATACATTTGCAGCTTTTCCCTCTATCTTTCCACACCTCTGAGAACAGAGGTGATAAGTATATTGACATTCTAGCTTTTAAGACAGAATGTGATCCTACTCAGAGAAAAGTGAAATACTTACTTAAAATATGCAGTCCAACCACAAGCAAACACAGCTATGTTCTGCTGTGGAATAATCAAGGCTTTCTCAACACCCTTATCTCTTGGGAAGCAAAGCTCTCTAACGAGGACAAATTTAATCTTAATGGGCTGTTGTTGAACTTTTGCATCTGCTTATCAATTCCGAAACAGTACAATGACAGGTAGTATATCTCATTTGATTTGAGTAATGACATTGCCCCTTCATTCTCCTGATTTCTGCCTTCAAGCTCTTTTGTTTTTTCAGTTCATTACATTTCATCTATGTAGGAAGTTATGACCCATTAAGGTCAACAATATACCTGCAATTAAAACAGGCAAGGATCCGAATACAAACTATGGCTTTAATTAACATCAAAGTAAATTTCAAGTATCTTAGTAGTTTTTGGTGATGGTTGCTCTTCCATTAAAAGAAGTTGAGATGTCAGCGCTACTTCTATGTAAACCACTCTACAGCACTATAGAAATATAGAAATATGTTGTCAGGGCTCCAAGCAAGGGCCCCAACAAAAGAAGACTCCAAGTTTTGAGTTTCCTCAAAGTTCCATTTTATTAGAGATGTCATATTGGCACATCTGGAAAAACCCGAATCTGAAAGCTTCCAGGTTTTCCCCACCCAAATGAAAGCTCAAGTCCCTGCCCACATCAGAGGTGGTATTCTGCCGGTTCACACCAGTTCAGATGAACCAGTAGTGGCAGTGACACGAGACTCCGCCCATCCACCCAGACGTCATCAAGGCCCTTCTGTGCATGCCCAGATGTGCACGCTCCTGCTAACAAAGCAGTAGTGAAGATAAGATGATACCATTACTGACCCACATGTCCATCACATGGCCCAATCAGGCACTGTCCCAACTGGAGATGCCTCACAGTCACACCACTCCATTTGCAGGGCATGGTGTCCTTGACTCTCTGAGAAAGGAAGGTTATTTAGACTATATATCTCCCATACTCCATATGATCCCCACTCCCATTTTACCACAGTAGAAAATGTGGCAGGTCTGAGGTCCCAATGTAAAAGATGGCTTCCAGGTGTGATATATGTATTTATGTAAATAAACTCACATACCACTACGCTCCTCAGAACTTCAAATTCACTTCTCTCTTAGGCCCTAAATGTCTACTCTTCACAGCTACAGACTGAACTCTGCATCCTGTTGGGAGGAATAAAGAGATAATTGACTGCTGGTTACAACTATTAGTTGCCCGGGCAATAGGAGAAAAAAAGGAAAAACATGGATAGGTACAAACAATGAAGTAGTTTTGCTCTGAATCATTCTATGCAATTGTGTGATAATTTAGTGACCTTCACACCCAAACCAGGGTTAATCCTGTTCAGGAAATTATTAGTCAACTTTGGTAAAAAAAAAAAATGTTGTATATCAATAACCTATGATTTACTTCAAATTATACTGTACAAAAAAGCCACTTACAGTTGTTCTAGGAACCCTCGGTAAAATCAATTATATCTTTTATTTTAATAAAAATGTTTATTGTAAGTTAAAACAATAGCATTGCCATCCTTAGTAACTCAAAAATCTATTTGTACAATGCTGGTTTAAAAAAAATGTTCTTTTCATTATATTGTTGTAAATTACAATACATTGTTTTGCTAGAATGATTTTTGTACATCACTAATTAACATTATTGACATTCTATTTTTTTAGATAACTTGAAAAATTAGAAATAAGAATAGAGAAAAATAAAGGTATTAATCATCAGTTAGGATATGGATGTTAGAAGCATAAAATTATTTGACCTTCAAAGTTGAGTACTATATTAGAAAAAAGAAAAAGTGTTGCAAATAATATCAAAACTTCTGTTCTTCTTCATCTTCCTTTCTTCCGTCAGTCCATCAAAACGAAATATTGTAAATGTTGAGAAAATACAAAAATGCAAAAAGAAACATTGATTCAATATTTACAACACAGGTTTGCATGACATACTATATCTATAATTTTATTTTGTTTCCCCAAATCTCCATGTCTTTGACTTTTTAAATCTTTAATTTGTGTGTGTGTGTGTGTGTGTGTGTGTGTGTGTGTGTGTGTGTGTGCCAGCCATTATTTCCCTACTAACATCCAGATTCTCTCTTTTCATCTCTCTTTAGAAAATTTTGTTGTGTTAAATTTAGCTTACAATGTTAGGGCTACTTTTTTCCTCATTACTTTTTTCTATATATCAATGTATAACAATATGGCAATATTAATAGTGGCTATCTGTTTAATAGCAATATCACTAGAGGGCAGCATTGATTAAATTAGCCTCTTGAATAATGAGAACATAAACTTGCATTTTGAAAACAAAAGGAAAAATATGTGATATAAATCCAAATGCTTTCCTATTGTACATGGATCAAAGAATTCTGCATTTTACAATATCCCTACATTATCTATAAAATGTATGTCTCATCTTTTTAAACCGTGATGTTATTTTCTTAAAATATACGGTCAGAGAAGGTAAAGCTGCAATAAAAGTTATAAGGATGGCAATCAGTAAGTATTTAATTTATTCATAACATTTAAAGTTAAGATATTAACCCAGTTGTTCTTATTGAATTGCAGGTCTCCTGACAAATGCAGCAACGAAGAAATCTTGTAGGCGTTTTTAGGCTCGGTGTGAGCTACATTCCCTAATCAAGTTTCACTGCTGTGGATCATCATCCATTCTATGTCATCAATTCAACTGTCTATTTCTCTGTATTTCATCGAAGAAGGCATAATTCTACATTATGAGCTAAAAGTCTGTTCTATCCTATTAAAGAAAGTTGGACTAAGGAATCAAGATCTAAGAGAAAGGCTTGGGCGTTAGCAATACAACAATCAAAACCACAAGTTCATGGTTAATATTGCACCTGAATTACGTTCCACTGCTGGACTTGATCTGTGGTTACAATAATTGGAAAGGTCAACTGGAGAGTAATCATCCCAATCAGCCTTAGAGAAGACTGTTTTGTCTACAGAAGGACACTAAGGTATAGAAGACAATTTTTCTTGTGCCCTAGACTGCCTGAATTCCTTTTATTTTCTTATGTTTCAGTATATACAATAGACCAAAGAGCAAAATCTATTTTAAAGTGGACACGATGTTACTGTTAACAAGATTGTTTAGATTCAACAGTATGAAAACCACCCTGTACAAATTCAGTTCACGCTGTGAGGAAATGTTACTTTCCAGGAAAAGCCTTGATGGAACACTGCAGAAGAAGCTGGAGCTACTCTTGGACAAAACTACCCTAAAAATCACAAGGGAACATGGAGAGATTATGACCAATCTTAAAGAAGAAAACAGAACTTTTGATTCAAAACAAGACAAACTGTCTACGCACCATTTTACTCTGTGCTTAGATTGACTTATCATACTAAAATCATTCTAAGTTTAACCAGTTCAACATGCCTCTTCTATGGTTCCATTCTTTGATCGTTAAAAGTTGGATAATACAGTATTTGCAAAGAGCATGTTTGGTCATCTGTGGCCTATGTCTCATCCGATACATTTAGCGCCAGAAAGCAAATCCAGGGGGAAGGAGGGGGGGGTGGAGGGGAAAGTAACACTTGTTTGAAAGAGATCATTAAATGTATTTTGAAAAGCCTAAAGTTATATATTTAACAGTTTTTATATGTTGTATATTTGTAGAAAATCCTATTTAACAATTAACGTGGACGGTCATGACAAAAAGATTCAGAGTTGAGTTGTTGTTTTTATTACTTCAGTTGTCTCTGAAGTGGCTGATGTAGTTTGCTTTCTTCCATTGGGACATTCTGGATGTAAAGCATGACCAGAGAGGAATCTGTAGAAAAGCAAAGAATAATGGTGTTTATATTACATAAATGCATTCAACCATTGCACTGTTGAAAGGCTTCCTTTCTCTCTTCTCTTCCTCTTCCTTTGTCTCTTTGTTTCTTTTCTTTTTGTTTTCTTTCCTTCCTTTTCTTTTTCCTTTTCCTTTTTCCCCTTGGAAGGGAGTGATAGTCTTTTAAATGCCAGTAAAACAGTGTAAAATAGTTGAATAGTCATTAGTTTCCATACTCAGTCGCATTCTTTCTATCTCCCCGCCATGCCTCCTCTCCCACCCTTCCTAATTTAGTACAAAGGCCAGCTTGCTCCTTGATCAAAATATTTTTTTTACATCACATTTTTGAAAACTCCCTTATTCAACTTTATGGTACAAAAAATGTTAAAAGGAAAATGGTATTTCAAAAAAGAAAAGCATTGACACCTTCAAATATAGTATTTCCTTTGTCTATAAGTCTGGCTCATAGTGATATGATTAGGTCAGCAAATGGGCATACTTCCTTCCCCCAAAAATATTTGTCAATATTAAAGTTATTCCCAATGTCCACTGTAGTATACTACCTAAATACTCCAATTAACTTTTAGTATTATGCTAGTTCTATGCTACTAAAGAAAAATGTATAGGGATTGTTCAAACAATCATAGGTAAGAGGTATGGGGGAAAATAGTTCATTTAATCAAGACCTCTCCCAGTTTTCAATATTATTTTATTGCACAAGTCGAGGAAATCATGAATTATAGGTGACAGTGTCTATGAATAAAACATATGTGATGATGGTCTTACTTCGTTGTAAAAGTTCTGATCGGTGTCCAGGTAGCAATTAAAGCCCAGCCACTTTGAAAAGTACTATGAACTGACTGCACTATAAATGACCGATGTCTGATTTAAAATGTCATGCAATAAATGATGGTAGATACTTCACCTGTATAATAAGAATTGGAGTGCCAGATCCCTCACTCTACTGTTATTATTTTTTTTCTTTCTTTTCCTTTTTTAATTTTATTTTTTTGGAGGGAGCGTAGTAGCCTTATTTAGTCAATACTGAACAAAACTTTAAAATGTTTCAACTTTTTTGTTGCTTTACAGTATTCAGTTTTGTGTTGGTTCAGCTAAATTATGAAAAAAAATAAAATCATTTTATAAGTGAGATTTTTGGTCGCTGCTGATGAAATGAGGCAATAATTCAAAGGAGGGAGGGAAAAGGTAAGAAAAAAAAGGATCCTGTGAGATAAAAGGAATAATTTTATTTGGGGAGGAAAGAACTAGATTTATCAGGATTATTCCGGTATTGTGCCGAATATGATTATAAATATAAAGTGACGACAATTTTGTATGATTTAAAATGTTGAACTTCAATAAGTTATAAAGTTGTCAGCAAATATGTCCATTTATGTGATTGCAGTATTTTGGTTTTTTAAAAGCTATTTTGAAAGTTACTAAAAGAGTCTGTTCTGACCGAGGCTTCCCGAGTGCATGAAGCAAACTCCTTGTCCTGACAAAAACCCCTTTTATTAAGTTACTGTGAATTCTGCTCATTCACATCCAGCAAAGTCTTTCAAGGGAGGATTTACAGCCATAGACCTTATCTGGCGTGGAGAGCTGCCAGGCTCACATCTGCAAAACTTGGCAAGGTGTCTCAGAGAGTCACGAACCAATTAAGTGAACTAATTGTCTCCTGCAAACTCCACTCCTTTTTTGCTCCTCTTTCATTTCCTCTGGGAGGGACCATTCATCGCCCACCTGTGGCTTTACTCCCAAGTTGATCCCTGTTTTTTAGTTGTTCCCTTCATCTGGCAACTCTGCGCACCCGTACACTGGGAACAGTCTCCAACTGTTCATCTGCCTCACTGATGTCTAACTCTGAAGGCAGCTGATAACTGCAGAGCATATGGCTCTGGCCCCTTCTCTGCCTCTGACATAGAGCCCTCACCAGAGCCTTAAGTTTACTGTATTGTTAGCATAGAAGGTTTCTCATTTTTTAAGCAAATTTTCTTTTTAATCTTTCTGAATCTTTTCTGGATGCCCACTTATGCCCACTCTGAAATAGCCCAATGGGAAAGTAGCTTCATGGTGTATTTAGCTAAAATTTGGAAGCTGCAGAAGTCAGCTGACCATTGGTGAGAAGTTACTGTATTACCATAAGTTGCTAGGACAGAACACACGTATTCTTTGGCCATTGTAATGTGTTGTTTGACCAGGCAAACACTTATAGATGGAATTTGAACCTGTGAGGAACATACACTGCATGCAAATAAACTTTATTTATTTATTTTGTAGTAATAAAATATTTGGATTCATTTAAGAAAAGTTAAAAAAAACCTTGCCACCATCCTTGATGGTTGCTGTGGAAATTCAGTGTCGCTGTTCCTCTGTTAATGCACTCATCCTGGAGTCTGGATTTAACAGGATGGTTTCAGAGGTGATATTCAGCAGATTCTGACCAATTCTGGAGAACCGGTAGCGGAAATTTTGAGTATTTCAGAGAACCAATAAATACCTGACTGGCACCATCCCCATTTATTCTCTGCCTCCCCAGTCCCAGCTGATCAGGAGGGGGGGGGGAATCGGGATTCTGCACTAACCTTCCCCTGCCATGCCCACCAAGCCACACCCACAGAACCAGAAGTAAAAAAAAAATTAATTCCACCACTGGCTGGCTTCATCTGAGCACATTTCAAAACACCATTGGTTGAATGGCATTTGTTTTTGGAGAACTTCCTCCAATTTCTATTCTGGGTACTAGTTTATGATCTTATAAAATGATTCTTCCTGGCAGGACTGTCTTTGTTCAAACTGACCAAGAGAAACTGCTAAATACCTGAAGATGAAGATCTCTTAAAATAAGGTAAGTGTTTGAGGGAGAAAAACAACTATGTTATAGCATGTACATGACCAGCTGCCTTCCAAGCATACTAGTGAGTAATAAGTCTTCAGTAAACTAAAATACTTTTAGCTGGTTATACTTTTACGGCAAGGGTTTGAGTCACCTAACTTGTTCTCTTCTCTTTCAGGGTCTTCTAATGTGGCCAACTTTCCTTATAGCACTATAACTAAAATACCCATAATCACACCATCCTTACTCTTCTGCTTTGAACCATTTTAATGTAAGAAGTCCAACACGTTTGTTCTGTATAGGGCAGTGATAGCTAAACTTTGCGGTACTGCGTGCCTACACTGAGTGCCAAAACGGTCATTTGTGCGTGCTCGTCAGGGCTGCATTCCGGAAAAGCCAAACTTCTGGGTTCTAGAGTGCATGCACATCTGACGATCATCTGGCTGGCGTGCATGCACAGACTGGTTTTCGGCACTGCCGTGCAGAAGAACAAGAGCTGGTTGTCATGTGCTCATGCACGCCAGAAACCCGGAAGACAAACAGGGAAGGTCGCACGTGCTGGGCGACATGGCTTCGTATCCCACTTTGGGCACGAGTGCCATAGATTCGCCATCACGAGTATAGTGTAAGCGTTAAAGAACATTTCTAAATATGAGGACACCAAGGCTCAGGCTTCTGTTATGTATCAAATGGCATTAATTATTGATCTCGTAAATCTGGATTTTAGAAACAAGTACATCGAGAAAAATCAAACAAAGAGCAATATGCCATGTTCAGATGACAACTTTTACCTTTGTTTTATAGGAGAAAAGCTCTCAACAAGCATCAAAATGTCCAAACATCATTGACATAACATACCCAGTTTGTTTGGCTATATACAGTACATTTATCACAAGAGTTAGTTTGGCTTTAAGGCATTAACCCAGAAATGGGGAGATTGTGAGTTTTAGGCTCTCCATAGGCAGAAAGCCAGTTGGTCTTCTGTCAACCATTGGAAGGAGGCAATGACAAAGCACTTCTCAAATCTTGCCACAAAACTAGGGGCTTGTTCTGGCTAACTTCAAGAATCGAACACAATTGAAGAAAAAAAATGTATTCTGCCTCTACAATATTTTAATGAAAATGGGACGGGTTCCTGTAGGCATTAAAAATTACTTGGATGGGAAGTGAAGGGGTCAGAAATTTGTTTTTATTTATTTTATTATATTTATAAGGTGGTCTAACTCTATAAAGACTGGACAGCAAAGCCTTTTAACAGCATTATCTTTCATAATTTGGCTGTCACAGCCAAAGGCCTTTAAAAAAAAATCACATCCTTCGTGTGACAAGAAAATTAATGTCTAAGCTGCTGTGATGCAGTTGTAATGCTTGAATATTTTTAACAAGAGACTATGAATAAATCATAATAAAAATGAGTGCAAATCAATTGAGCATCCTGTCTTTCAAATATTAAGAACACACGAATTGCTTTGTAGCATAAGATGAGGATCAATCCAATTTTGTATTGCATTTCAAGAATTCCCAACAGGATCGCTCTGATAATTCAGTCAGAACACTTTCTAAATAAATTGATTGAGAGGGTGTTAACTATTTTTCAAATATTAATATAGTCATTTTAATAAAATTCCTTTGGTGTTAAATAGGAAAGCCCAATTCAAGTTTGCTCAGTGTTCAGTCATTCAATTTAGCAGAGTTTAGTACAGGGGTCAGCAACCTGTGGCTCTGAAGCCACATGTGGCTCTTTCAACCCTCTGCTATGGCTCCCTGTCGCTGGTCGGCTCCACAATTGATAGGGCTTTCAGTTATGATATAGAGGGAAAAGGACGCCGTGCTTGGAAGAGACTCTATGTAAGGAAAACTGGACTTCTGGTTGGCAGAGGAAAAAGGATGCCTCACTAGGAGGGGACTCTGTGGTTGGGGAACCGGACTTCTGGTTGGCTCCAGAATTGAACGGGAGGCCTCCGGTTAGGACATTTGTGACTCTTTGAGTATTTAAGGTTGCCGACCCCTGATTTAGTAGGATTCAGTAACTATTTTTATTTATTTATTTTATTTATACACACTGGTATTTTACCAGTTATTCAAAAGATGTATTTATAAAAGGTGATTAATATAAAGTAAGAGATTTTTCTACCAATTGTGCCGATGTGTTTTTTTAATTGCTTTGAGGTAAAATAATAGGAAACTCAATTAAAATGCTTTGTAAATCCTCAAGCCCCAAATATTAAGGTACACATAGTCCTTGCTTAACCACGATTGAGCCACAAAATCTTGGTCATTGAACAAAGCAGTCATTAATGGATAGGTTTCCCATTGACTTTCTGGGGATACTGGAAAAGAAGATTGCAAAATATTAGTGACATGATTACAGGGCAATTTAGAATTGGCTGTAGGAGTGAACAGGTTGCCAAGCATTCAGATGAGTATCATGTGATCGCAGTGAGAAAAAATATGTTTTGCAACAGTTGAAAGTGCTTTAAATGTCATAAATATGAAAAACGGTTGTAGGAACTGGGTATGTCTAGTTTAGACTAGGGGGTAACATGATAGCAGTGTCCTGATATCTCAGGGGTTGCCACAAAGAAAAGAGAGTCAAACTAT